GTATGTTAAAATCAGTAGAGATTACTAGTAGCCTTATTCTATACTGAAATATATTTTATAACAATCGAAGCTGAATGTATTTGATATAATTAAATGAAAATCATTGCTTTGATAAAGAATAGCCAAAATAAAAAAATCATGGCAACTGAGACGACAACAATATCGTCAATTCAAGAACACAAATGCTAAACAAGTCCCATTTGAAGATCTGGATTCCTCTATTTACAAAAATGCTAACCTTGCTTGCCTTCTCAACATCCGAAAAAAATTACCTAAGGGGCCAACTTGGGAATTCTGGGGTTCTACTCACATCACCATGTACGATATTTTTTTGCCACTCTCTTTCACAGCGTTTTTTTTTCAATAGCTTATACTAATGATGCTTGTGGTGATGTTACTCTGAGTGTATATCCACACTGGGCAAGCTTCAAAATATCACATACTTGAACCGACCCAACCGTGTAGCTCAGTTGGCAGAGCATTGGGCTAGTATTCCAAAGGTCGTAGGTTCGATTCCCACCATGGCCAGGTATATTTTTCACGCTTGCCCGGTGTGGATATACACTCAGATTAACATCACAAGCATCATATTCACCCGAGTACATTACACCAACACAGAAAAAATCATGATTACTAGATTAAATCGATATTGAAGGAACAAGACTCAGTTCCGAAATATCACATACTCGAACCGACCTGACTGCGTAGCTCAGTTGGCAGAGCATTGGGCTAGTATGCCAAAGGTCATAGGTTCGATTCCCACAACGGCCAGGTATATTTTTCAAGCTTGCCCAGTGTGGGATATACACTCAGAGTAACATCACAAGCATCATATTCACCTGAGTACATTCCACCAACACAGAAAAAAATTCATGATTACTAGCTTATACTATTTAGACTCCTTAATAATAGTCAGCATTGAGTTTTCTAGCTTCATGCATTACTTTTAATAATACATATTGCTCTGAGGTATAACATTTGGTTTATTCAATAGATCTTTATATTAAGATTTTGTGGGAAGCACGGACAATGAGATCTGTTACACTAATAGGTGGACTGCTGACAATAGCCTGAATATTGGTTTCTCAAATTCGTAGCTGTCTCGATTGAGATATTTATAGAGAGCTTATTAAAGCTTCGCGTAAAAACTGTGGCAAACAGCAAGGCCGCATTTTCTAGGCTTAATTTTTGTTCCATTTCTGCATGTCATATTTTCTTTCATATGACACAGGAATAGTCAGGGACGTCGCTACAGGGGTGGGTGGGTGTGGGGGGTGTAACACACACCCAATAATTCAAAACGTTGGTCAAAGTTGGTCAAAATGGAACTAGTATTCGATTAAAATTGAAGTTGGTAAAAATTTGGTCAAAGTTTGAGATAAAAATGGTGAAAGTTATGAAATCGTTTGCAATTTTAACAATTTCTAAGCTTTGGTCATGTTTACACTGAAACAATTGCAAGCCTTGCTTATTTTGGTCGAAAATATTTGAAGCTTTGCTTATGTTAGTGTGGAAAATTTTTTGAACACCCCCCACCCCACCCCCGTTGACAACATTTTCGGGAAACATTTCTACTGCTTGGTCAAAATTCCAGGAAAAGTTGGTAAAAAAATCACGACCCAATGTTGATGTCTTCACAACGTCCCTGGCAATACTTTAGCATTCTAGTTTTAAAATAACAAGCCTATTTTATTACTCTTTCTTAAATCATTAAGCTGCAAGCTGTTACAATGTTTCTACCTCCCAACGTGCAAGCAATATGGAGAATACATGATTGAATTCAAGGGCTTTCACCAAAATGGCAATATCTCAGAAACAGTTGCATGAACTAATTGTGTAGAATGTTATCCGTATGCTCAAATGGAACAGATAACCTAATATTCAGGTATTCAACATAGCTAAAAAAGGGTGAAATAAGGACTTTCATCTTTAGTTGTGTGTCAGATGTGAGAAATCAATTAGTGCCATTTTGTTGCGCCTACTATCTTATAAAAAACACAACATAGTTTCCTATAGACATTATTAAAAATGTTCTAGTTATTATTGTCTTTGTGGATTGCCAAACTAATGCTGTCCGATTTAAATACACAGTCGCTTATGTTTCTCCTGCCATATAGTGGAGTATAATGCTCTGGGTTAGAGTTAATTAGCTGTATTTGAACAAGTTGAATGCTCTGATTTGGAAAATGTTTTTGTGTTAGACTTTTTAAATCTGGGTGTTGTGTCCAGGTAAACGAATCAACAAATCTAGATGGTGACGTGAAACAAAACCATATTATGTTAGTGTCATTTATGTCTTTGGCTACAAATACATCTACTGTGCACTTATCCTGTGGTTTTACTTTATATATGACTGAATTATGGTATTGATCATTTTCATTATAAATAACAAATCCATCAGTTTTTAAGTTGTATTGTGTTAGCAGCTTTGTAGTTTTGTGTGGCTCGTTTAGCGGATAAAATGATTTTTCTATTATTTGTAAATTAAAACCTTTAATGTTTTTTGTTATACTGTTTATAATGCTAACGGCATTTGTTAGTTCCTCGTGGTTTTTTCTAATGGTTTTATGATAATAGCTAACTCCATCTAATATAATTACATCAAAAATTAATAATTGTGTTGTTTTTTCCATGAATTCGCCTATTACAAATAACTCTTTTACTGCTTCCTCAGTTTGTTGCTCAATTTCATATATTAGTTTGTTAAATTTGCCTGTTTCTTGTATTGAGCTAATGCCATAATTTGGGGCAAACATAAGTTTATTATATGACATGCCACCATACACAACAGCCATGATAATGCCATCTGCTTTAGGTGTTATAACACTTGAGCTTAAAACTAACTTAGATAAATCATATCTGTTTAATGATACTGGTTTTACCACAAATGGGGCAAAGTTATCCATGTATATTTTGCGCTGATATTTGCTTGGCTCTTCTGTTTTGTCTGTGTCTATTATGTTTTTTACCATAGTGACTAGTGGTTTTATAATAAATGTTACAGAATTAGTGTTAATTAATGTGTTTGACAGTTCACTAAAAAACACAAGGCTTTGCATAAATTTGTTATGGTCTGTTTCTATTTTTCTATCTATTTCAAATTCTAATCTGTGGTTAATTGTGCTATGTGTGTCTGATAGAATAAATTCACTTTTTATAAGTACTATTCTTGGGTTTGCAGCTAGTGGGGTTCTTGTGCTTTTTTGTATTATTTTTTTATGGTGCTGATAGTCTTCTATTAATTCATTATTTGAAAATTCGTATGATAAATTTAAATTCATGAGACCATTTTTTTCATATTGTTGCCTTTTCTTTAAATATTTTGAATATGTTTTTTTTGTAATATTATTGTTAATATTAATAGTTCGCCATATTAAGCGAGTGTCGTATATTCCAATTATTTCATCGGTTATGGTTTCTGTGTGGGTTTGATCTATGTTATTTTTGTTTTGTATTATATTTTGATATGAATCCGGACTTAGTTGGATCACAGCCTCAAGCTCAATTTCATCAGTCTTATCCCAATCATGCGCAGAGCTGTATGTGTAATAAAGTTCTATTATTTTTTCAGAAAAATACATCTAGATTATTGCCTAATAGGATTGGTGGCTTAGCCGATCAACTCTTTTCACAAGAAAATAAAATATGGCATTTATATAAAAAAGAAAGTAATCAAGACAGGTTTGGTCATGTGTGGTTTTATTTTGTAAGAGCTGAGCATAAATGCACCTGCGAAAAAAAAACTACCTGGTATTTTACGGATCCAGTAAACATAAAAGATTATATACCAGGTACCTGGTATTATAGTGAATTATCTAAAATTTTAAAGTTGTTTACCTGGTGTTTGGAATATTGGAAAGGCAATGTAAATTCTGACGAGGTAACAGGGAATTTGCACTCCAGAAAAGACAAAATAATAATAGGAATGACTTATACAAAAGATTTTGATTTTAAGTACACAGGGCAAGTCAGAAACAGACTTCCGTGGGATAGAATGGATAAATTTGTCATTGCATCAATAGTAAAAAGGCAAAGGGTTAAGCTTAAAAAAAATCTAATCAGCAAATTTGCCAGGCCAGTTTGTCATTCCGACAGCCTTTGTGTTGTTGTAAAAGAGTTGCATCAGGCGTCATTAAAGTTTTTAATTGAGGAAAAGTTAGATGGAATTGGTGGTTTTGCCATTATTAATGAAGAATTTAGACCGGATATTATTTCTTGTTCAAGTCTTCCTTTTCTTATTACCGAAATTATGCGGGAGGAGCTACGTCATGTATTTCTTGCTCTTTCTGGTATAATACGTGATGATTATCCTAATTATTCAGTATATAACTGCATTCTTAGCGGAGAGCTAATTATGAATAATGGGGTTAGGGAAGACGTTAACGGTGCCTTACATAGAAAAAAAATATCTGACGCACATTACAATATTATGTTTTATATTTATGACATTTCATTTGGCGCAGCAGTACCAATATTTGAAAGAATTGATATCATTAATAGTATAGACAGTCTTTCAACAAACACAGTGGTGAAAATGCTTAAAAACAGAAAATACAATTGCACACCAGATGAGGCTGATGAGTTCTACAAGGGGATAACCAGTAAAGGCGGAGAAGGTGTTGTGTTAAAACTAAATAAAATACCAGACTTGGCATATAAATTTAAGGTTTTGGAAGATCAAATCCTTGTGTGCGATTCTCATGAATTAATAATGAACGATGGACAGCCTATTAGTGTTGTGCTTCATTTTAAAGATCCTGTTTCTTTTTCTGCACAGTTAAACCCAAGTCATGCCTTAATACGCGAATTAGTAAGTAATGGATATGAATTTACTGGTTCTAATTTTCATGTTGAATATAATGGCCTTAACAGGAACGGTAAGCCTCTTAATCCTGTGCCTCATTTTATATTTGATTAACTTAGTGTAAAACAAAAAAAATATGCATTAGCACATTAATAAACTAGTTATTTTTTTTCCTTTATTATTTATTGGTGTTTTTTTATATGTCTGCTCCACCAATATCTAAGTCATCGGCTCTAATTCTTCGCCTTGTTCTTTGGTTCACAGTGCCCTCACCTCTGGCTGACGATTTGTTTTTTTCCTGTGCGCCGTTTGGTTTCTCACGCCTTCGCCCTTGTTGTTCTTCGTCGCTTGTTTGTTTACCTCTTTGGCCGTTTTTGTCACCACGTGCACTTGAAACACGACCATCAGGGCTTGCACTTTTTCTTCTTGATGGTTTTTCAGTTTCTACCGAAGAATCACTGTCGTTATCGTCGTCATTATACAAATCAATGTCCAGTTTGTCGTGGCTGACCCTTCTGCGTTCCTCAACAAATCTTTGTCTTGAATTGGTTTTGTCGGTTTCCGTTTTCCTTGTATTTTCTCTTACTTCCTGTTTATCCTCACGTGTTCCTCGTTTCGATCCTGCGTTTGCTTCGTTTTGTGGTTGTTTTTTGCCTCTTGTTAACAAATCGGTTGACTTGTTAATCTGGTCTTTTTGGTTCGTTGGATCAGCGTTTGTTCCTCTTCCATTTTGCCGTTGTCTACCGCCTTCTGCTTGTGGTTCCGGTGAAGCGCGTGTTCGTCTTCTTGGTTTTTGTTCTTCGTTTTCAGAGGAATCTATTTCATGTTTGTCTTCTTCTTCATTCAAGGTTTGAATATTTTTAAACTTGGAAGTCAAAACCATTTCATCCATTTCTTTTAGGTCTCTTCGTAGCCGCTCCATTCCTGTAAGGCTTTTGACATTCTTTACATCCCACAAGTTAACACACTTCGCAAACCCGCATGAATAGTTTATTAAATGTTCAATGTCCTCTTTTTTTTTACTTTTTCCTTCATTTGAAGTTTTTATTACTGATTTAAGAGTATCAAGAAATTCATACTGATCAAAATAGTTAACATAACTTCTGACTTCCTCAGATAGTGCGTCACTAGCTATCTCCTTTTCCTGTTGTAATTGTTTTGCGGTCGACATGATTAAGAACTAATAACATATTAATTAATGATCATAAAACATCATATTTTTTTTGATGGTTTAAATATAGGAAAAATGGATAAATGCGTATCGTTTAAAAGCTCTGTTTTGTTTTATTCAAATAACTTAACTCTCCTTAAGCACTACAAACCATTGACTTCTATGTTTTGGCTTGTTAGTGAATGGCCAAATCAAAACCCGTTTATTACTAACCCACATGTTAAAATAGTAATGTTTGCCTTAAAGTCAGATAGTGCAAATAGTAAGGTTGTGTTTCAGTTTTATGACAAGCCAGTTAGTGTAGACCTGGTTATTTATAATAAAACACAGCTACATGATCTGACCAATTTGTGTTTTTCTGACATGGATAAATATAATGATAGACCTAATTTATGTATGGTGGACTCATCTATAAAGGAAAAAGACAAAATAATAAGAGTAGGGTGGGGCTTTATGATGCGGTTTTATTCCAGCAGAGTTGCTTTTACTTCTGTTAATTTACACGGCTCTGTTTATTTTACAGGTGTAAAAAACAGTTCAACCATGGCGGAGCTTCTTGGGTTTGTCCATTTACTTAAAATGTATAAGGAATACATTAACAGTGGAATAAAAGATGATAACGGTGTTATTTTTATGTGTGATAACCAGCACGTGGTTAATATTGCATCTACATCTTTGCAACAAATAAGTACACCCGAAAGTAATGAGCATGCACATAAACTAAGTTTAATTGCAAAATCTTTACTTGGCGAAATAAATAGTCCGTGCTCTATGCACATTAAAGGCCACTTACCGCTAATAAAAAGGACTAAAATGCACGACGGATTATTGTCTATGCAAAAAATGAATGATATTTGCGACGAGTTGGCAGCTATGACAGACGTTTTAAATTCTCAAAAAAATAAGGACAATGATCTTATAATTAGTGTTTTTTCACGTGATAATATCGTTACACAAAATGAATAGAGGAATATAACGGAAAGCATCGGCGTTCGTTATCTTCATCTTCATATGTTTTATCTTTTTCTATTTCTCTTTGCCTTAATAAAAACAAAACAAAGAAGAAACTGTAAGCCTTGTTATGTTTAATTACATCAATAAATGAACTAATACCGTCGAATTCAACACACTCTTCATTTAATACATTAAGAGGTGGCGGGTATTTAATTTTATTTTTATTGTCTGTTTCTTGTGTTTTTTCTTTGTCATACCCACTTCGCCTGTTGCACATGCTAACAAATTCGCTATGCATTCTTATTAGGGATGAAACTCTGTTTTTGTATGTTTTATTGTCGCCTATAATGGCCATTGTTTCAGATAATATGTTTTCGTATATTTTTAATTCAATAGAGTTACTTGTTTTTTTATTGTTTGTAGGTATAAAACGGCCCCTTGTTAATGGCAAGTATCCTTTCCAAGTTGGTTGAACAGACACTGGCTCACTATCAAAGTCTAACACACCCGGGACTGTTTGAATAAAAATAGCATCATCGTTATCCTCTTTAAATAATTCAGGTAGATCATATTTACTATATAATGGATTAAAAAGAGCATACCTTGGCATAATACCAATTGTGCTTACAAATTTAGTAAAATCTTTAAAATACATAGGACTAACTGTGAATTGATCACTTACGTTAAAACATATTGAATATTCCGGGTTGTTAATTGCGCTTTTAACATAACTAAAGTTTACAGACTCTGTTCGACATATTACTTCGTATATTTCTGGTGTAGTTAAGTCTTTATCTATTAAGTTTCTCATAAATCGGTTGTTATTTCTATTGTTTTCGTATTCTAAAAGAATGCAAAAAATAAATTGTCGCCAAAATTCTGTTTTATTTGTTATTAGTAATTTTTTAGCGGTTCTATCATGATTATGATTTAGAGCTGATTGATTAAATAACTGTAATGCATTGGATAATTTAGCAACCACATTACTAAAGTTTTTGACCTTATAATTTTCTTTTTTAAACATTTGGTTCACTTATTATTGCAGTTTTACCTTAGATTATACAATAAACTACACTTATTATTTTAATATTTTTATTGTCTTTTATTTTTTGTGGTGGGTCGGATGACATAAAAAGTGAGTTATCCTTTATGCTTATCAGTTTTCCGCCAGTTGTATCAATACCAGCACGAACTGTTTGGCAGTTTTGTTCTAACACGTTTAGCTCATTAGTTATAAGACTATTAAATACATTATTATTAACTAAAATTATTGGATTTAATAAATCAGTGCAGCTAAATACGTAAAAACCAGTGATGTATCCATTTGGCATACTACTTGTTCCAATTGTGTAATTTAGTCTAAATAAATTATCTAACTCACAGTCATATGTAACGGGCCATGATATATATTTAGGTGGATTATTAGCACTATTGTTACAGTTGCAGATTTTGTTTTGTGGCTCTGTTATTATATCTACTAGGCATTTTGTGCCTGTTATTTTATATGTTTTTACGGAGCTTAATTCTAGGCGAGCCTGAATTTTAAAACCACATGTACCAGTCCACGATGTTTTACCACTAGATCCGCTACTGTTATCTAGTTCATTTGGGCACGGCAAATTGCATGTTATATCATTTTTGTTTTTTGTCATTTGTAACCCTAATCTGGTGCTAATAACTTTTATTTCATTGCCTGTTAGACTGTAATTATTGCCAGAACTGATATCTGTATATGTGAAATTAAAAAAGATTTCAAAGGTTGGAACATCTGAAACAGAACCATCACAGCTAATTACAAATCTAACATTCCTATATAATTCATTATTGTTTCTTATGTCAAATTCGCAAATGGAACTTACTTGTTGCGTATTGTGTATAACAACTGTGTCTTTAAAAATCCATTTCTTTTCCAGCACTAAAAATTCAGATAGCATAGGCTTTCTGTCTGTGCCAATGTCCATTGCTAGTGCCTTTACACTAAGAAAAAAAACGTAAAGTTTAGATATAAAATGGCCATATCGTAGCAACAATTTAGGCCGTTTGTATATAAGTATTGTAAATACTTATATATATATATATATATATATATATATGTATATATATATATATATATATATATATATATATATATATATATATATATATATATATAAAGATATATATATATATATATATATATATATATATATATAAAGGCCGAAAACAATAAATTATATATTGCAATGATATCGGCGTTTTTGGTCACAATAGTTAATGTTAATGGTAGGGATGTGTTAGTTTAGGCAAGGATAAATAAGATTATTAATCACTTATTAATTGCACAAGTCCATCCTTTGTGGATAATTGTTTTAATTTTTTTGCTAGGGCTTTTGTGTCTTCTGACATTTCTGTGTTTACTGTACATAACTGTGTGTGAAGTGAATTAATGCTAAAAAATAAGTTTTCTAAGGCATCTCTTTCCTCACCATTTAAATCTTTTTCATAAGAAGCCCTTGATAAAATTTTAAATCCATCTTTGTTGCACACGGATAACACAAATACAATAAACACTCTTATTAGTTCTTTTAGTGATGGATTAAACACACGTTCCCTAAAAATATGAAAATTTTTTATGGAATCTCTGTGTTCTTTGCAATTATTTACAAAATATTCAATGCCTTTTGGTATATCTTTAACAAAAATTAAGTTTAGTATTGATGAAAAACCATTAAATGTGAAAACTTCTTCAAACTTTGTTTTGTCTGTGAATAAGTCACCTTTACCTGAATCTATTATTGTTTGCACTACTGGGTACACTTTTCCGCCATCAACAAGTTGCATTATTTTAAATATATTAGTTAGTATTGATATTTTTTGAAGAAGAGATGTTTTAGATAATTTATCAATTGTTCCATCGAAAAGTTCTACTGAAAAAATACCACCAATAGAATCACCAAAGAACGATGTCATAAAGCCAACAATATTTCTTGTTATATAGGAGTCCCCAAGAAAAGCAGTGGCCATGTCTGACAATGTGCTTTTGTCTTTTTTATACAGGTTTAAGCTATTTGATTCGTTTAGTTTTTCCCGCTGCGTGTTTGTTTGCTCTGTTAGTCTGCTTATATGTGATTTATATGACTTAAATTCATACAAATTTATGTCATCAAGATTGGTCACTGGTTTGTATAAGTCTTCAGGTTCACCTTTGTTCTTTTACTTTTTCCGTGCCTATTGGATTCTATGGTCTTTATTGCATTTGTTTTGGCTTTTATAGTTTCTTCTATGTCTTCTCTTTCCTTTTGGGTGTATTGATTAAATGGCACCATCATTTTGTTTATTGTGAATGATTCAACCACACGAGTGGCCGATTCTGTTATTAAACAGCCTATTACATTTGGCAAATTTTCTATTATTGTATTTATTTCATCAAAAAGGCAAGGATTAAGGTTGTGTAATTCCTTTAATATTAAGTTTTCGTCTTTGCTTATAACTAAATCTGAAAAAATACTCTCCATTATGATTAGCAACTTTGAGTCTGTTAATTGTTATGAATTTAATAAAATGTTTTATTTAAGCAAAATGAGGGTTAATCAGAGTAGTGCTGAATGGAAAAAAAAACACAAAGAGTGGTCGTCACGTGTTGGGTCTAGTGGAATTAGGCACTTATGTTTAAATGATTACATGTCATTATTTCGGCAGCTTCTACGATTTAATGACATACCTAGGCATTGCTCTTGCTTTGGCCACTTTTTTGAACCAATGGCAGTTTATTTATCATCTTTCATAACTGGTGTTTATTTTTTCGATGGGTTCACTAGATTAGGCCATAATAAAACAGCTTGCACAGTTGATGGCTTTGGTGTTGGTGATCAGGGAGAGCTAGTTATATTAGAAGTTAAATGCCCAATCTCAAGGCCAATAAAACAAACAAACAGTGTTTATTTTAGATATAAGGAGCAAGTGTCACTGCAGATGGAAATATGCAATTCACAATTAGCAGTATACTCAGAAATTGGGTTTAAAATGTGCCCTATTGATTTAATATTTGAAACAGATCGCCCATTAGTGCTGCCAAAACACTGTTTTCAGCAAAGCAGTTTAATTGTATATGATCCTGAATTTTTTGGTTTTGTGTGGTGGTATAACCCCTCTTCCCAAAACAAGCAACCAATGATCGCCGATGCTATTAATTTACAATATGAAGACATGTGCGAACTAATGGAAAACACGGAAAGCCCAAACTTTATGCTAATGCCAACTTCCAGGCAAGCTGATTTAAAAAAGGCCTTTAACGATATCACTACTAACAAAAACATTATTGTTCTTGGTTTTTGCGTATATGATTTTAATATAGTCAATGTTAGACAAGGCGATCTCCCAAAAAATGCCATTCTTAAAAAAACTCCTCTTATACTTGTAAATAAAATAATGACACATTTAATTAAAAGACATGGGCATGTAACATTTAAAAAACGGCATGAATTGGTTATGTATTTGTCTGATTTATTGCGCAAAAAAATAGTTAATTTTAGCATGCTACCTAACAAATGGGAAGTAGACAATTTTGAGGAGCTAAGCGACATTCACATGTGTAATTTTAAATGATCTTATAATAATTAAATATAGACAAACCCTCTATTTTAATTAATACAATATCTCCTTGCTTTATTTTTTTTTGTTTGTTGGGTTTATATTATACATGTGAATTGTAAAGTTGTTTTTGTCTAGCTTAGGTAATTCTAAATTAATGTCTGGTATTTCATGGTTTTCTGTTTCATAAACCTCATCCATGTCTAGTAAACTTATTTCTGTCATTTTATTAAAAACATGATTATATGGCAATAAGAAATTAATAGTATTTAAGTAAATGTATTTTTTTGTAGAAGTGCCTTTTTGTTCAGTAAATTGTGGGCTTTGTTGTTCACTTATTATATACAAAAATGGTGCACATTTTCTTTCTATTTTTGTCCAAATTCCTTTGTTGATAACTAAGTTGTCCTTAATAAGACAAATATCACCAGTTTCATTAGTATTTGTTATTTTAATAAAACCAAACTGGTTTAAATTAAAATAAAGCTGCTCATAAAAAACATCATCATTGGTTTTATTTTCTTGTGTTATTTTAAAATAATTGCAAATAGTAGTATGTAGGTTTTTAAGTTCCTGTATGCTACCTGTTGACATTTTTTATTTGGTAATGTCGGTAGATAATTTGTTTTTATTATTTTTTATTCCTTTATGTGGGTTTTTTCTAAATTCGTTTCTAACTCCGTCTGCTGATGCAATAACTTTTTTGAGTATGACAAGTTTTTCAACATTTCTGTCACATGTATTGGGATCACTTTGTCTATTTTCTTCTGAAAAAAGGTCAAATATAAATTCAGGAGGTGGTCGTAGTGATATGTCCATTCTTTCTTTATTTGTGAGTATTGTATAAGTATTTTTGGTTCATGCTCTTTTAGTCTATCATGGCATATTAAATAAATTTCATCGTTGTACTTAAGGCTGGAAATAGGTTTAATCATGTTAAATGATTTGTATAAAGACACAAGATCATGAATAACCTCTATTGTTTTGGTTTGGGCACATTTATACATTTTAATTATCACACATTTTGTGCCAATACCTGGCCTGGATTTTATGATTTCAACAATATGAGCCACTAATATTGTCTGATTTGTTTCTTTGTCTGATTCTCCTCCTATACCTATATCAGAACAAAAGTAATCACAATCATACAAAGTGCTGGTTTTAATTTTTTTTTTAAATACTGGATCTGTGACATCTCCTGATACCTTATCATCCCACATTCCGTATTTGCTCATGTTTTGTACATTGTACTGGTCTGGCAAAAATTCATTTGAGCCTTTTACGTATTTTGGCGAACTACCTAGGATATTTGTTGTATTAAATAAAATAGAGGTTATCATAAAAGACGAACCAGGGTATTCACCAATAAACACAAATCTGTTATTTATTGAATTGTTTGGTTTTATAATTCCCCAAATTTCAAGAAACTTAACACCTCCATTGCTTAACTTTGTGGCAGGGAATCTTGTCCCATATCGCCTATTAAATAGCTGAATAAGTTGTGACACAATATTGCCCATGTAGTTGTTAAAAGTGTCAAATGTCTTTTTTTTAATGCGTGTTCGGATTTGTTCATACTCTGATAACTGACAAATGATGTCTTTTAAATGCTCCAATTTGGCTATATCTGTATCATAACTCATATTTGAATAATGATATTTGCAATAATTAATTATGTCTGTGGTAAAATACACACCGACGTCTTTGATAGACAAAAAAGAAAAGTTTTTTACAAGTGGATCTAAAACGTACAAATTGAGTGTTCCAACTTCTATTTCTAGTGTTGAAAATGACTCTCTTTTGGTTTACAACAAAATGGATGCAGTTGGTGGTCTTCTTCCTGGCATGAGACACATTTTTAATGCAATTATTAGTGGTCGTAACAGTTTCCGGGATAGCTTGGCTAAAAAGGAACGAACTAGTACTGGTAATTTGTATTACAGTGTAGCTGATATTTGGTGTCTGGTTAGGTCTGTTAATTTGCTTTTGACTAATGCGTTATCTAAGGCTAATGACGAATGTCTTGATGTTTTGGGTGTTACGTTTAGTAAAGCATACAGCTGTCTTATTGAAAAGAAACGGCCAGCCTGGACATCTTTGTCTACTGTTGTTTCTCATGACATTATTGGCATTTTGTTTGGGATAGTAAATGTTAACAGCGCGTGTGTTATGTTTATGAATGGTTTAATAAACATATCTTGGAACAAAGCACTTGGCAAGTTCAATGTCACTAAATTAAACGAAAAATCAGATGGCTTTGTTGTACCTTTTCAGCTTGAGTCTGATTTGTCGTGCAATAACTTCCATAAGCACATATGTTCAGCAGTTGGTGGTCTTAAATTGGAAATAGACGACGCTGAAATCATAATAAGTGAAGTGTATAGTTCTTTATGGACTAGCATGTTTTCGCTAATGGTTTCAAAGTTGTCAAAATCCAGCCATGAAACGGACCAAGACCAGGAATGTGTGCCTGATGTTGTGTATAAGGAAGTGAAACAAAATGGCTTGTCTGTTTTTGTTAAGGAACAAACCAGACTAGGTGAACTTGTGTTACCATCTGAATCAGGTCGTGCCTTTAATGCTTTTGAATTTCAGGGAGTTGTGTTTAAAAAGCGAGCACTTAAATCTGGTTTTTCGGCGATAAAGCAAAATGGTGAAACGGCTGTATCTTCTGTAAAACCTTCGATTAAGTACCACGAAAACTTAAGCAAACTGTCGTTACTGGCTCAGGATAATGTTCTAAGCAGCACGCCAAAACCAGAAACATCTTTTGGTAGGAAAATGGAGTGCAAAATAGAACGAGTGATAGAATCTATGATCAGTAATGTAGGTGAGGTGGCAAATGTTAAGCACAGGGAAGGCATAGCTGTACTACTGGGTCAATCTTTTGTGTACACATTGTGTTTTGTTCTTGATTCGCCGCAATTGCTAGAACTCATTCCTGCGGCAAATAGGTATAAATCGGAAATTAAAAACATGGATTTTCCAACGGCCTTGGTGGATTTATCTGATTCATTTAATTTTATGATCAGCGACCAAATAATTCAATTATCAGAAGATGTAGTAAACACATTGTTCTTTGCTTCGATGATATACATAAGAACTTGTATATTTGCACCAAACCACTCTAAGCCAAAAAAGAAACCACAAGAGAAAGGGTGTATGGCAGTGAGTAGTGCAATAAGCAAAGACCAATCTGGATTCTCATTATCTGTTTTTGAGTTATTTAAGTGCAGCTGTGAAGATATTCCATTATCTGAAAAAAATGGGAAAATTAGCAACATGCTAAATCCAATTGTTTTCAAATACATGGAACTACTAAATCAATTAAATGATTCAGATTCTAACACTAAGATAAAAGAAAAACTGGCAACCCAAAATAACGGAATATGCGCAGCAATTAAATTCATCTTCTCTAAGGAAGAGTTAAATTTCTGTGGCATAAAAATATAAACGGCAAACGGCAAACGGCAACGGAATAACCAAATAGCGGAGAAAAACGGCAACGACAAACGGCATTGGACAACCAAACAGCGGAGAAAACGGCAATGAATAATTAACCAAAACGGACAACGGCTTAATAAAAGTGCTAACGCATTTTTTTTTGCAACTCACAAAGGTTTTATTTTAAAATGCATTTTTTTATTTACAAATTAAAAAATAATGTGAATGCTACGTTGTGCATATAATTGCATTATAAAAAAGAAAAAATGGTAGAAGTGTTGAAATACATTAATACAAAAGTGATAGGAGTATTTAAAAAAAAGGAAGTCACAAGACATATGTTTGGCAATGATTTTATTAGGTCATTCGTGTTTAATATCGATAACCCAAATAAACTAAAACCAACCTTGTTTGCTTCCTCGCTAATGACAATTAAAGTTAAAACAAAAACAGATGTACCAATGGAACAAATAATTAGTAATAACGCAGTTTTTTATGCAGTAAATGAACTGCCCGTTACTACTCTTGGTTTATCAATGTCTCATCCATACTGTATTAATGTTTATAAAAACAAATACAAAGGCGATAACTATTACAGTATTCTCGTTTATTGTCTGCAAAAGCAAAATAACGACATTTGCGACAGTAGGTGTCCTTGTTCAAATAAACATGAGATATGTAAAAAGATTAGTAAATTTGTGGAATTAAATTAATAATGATCATAGTTTTATTTTAGTTGTAAGCATTTAAAAAAAAATACAAGTAATGAATTTTATGTTTATTTTTTATCTATTTATTAAAACGTTATAATTGTTATATATATACATAATTACATCATAAATCAAAAAATGGAATTGTCTTTACCTTTAATGACTATTGATATTTTAGGACAGTTTAATAATAAGGATATAGTTAGATACTCGTACGGTAATAATATGTTTAGATCATTTGAATTTAACACTAGTGAACAAAACATTAACCACTCGCTGATCCTTTATTCCCCACTGGTAAGTTTTAGAATTAATATATTAACAGATTTTAGCATGGAACAAATATGTGATCATGATGTAATTTCGTATGTAACACTTGATTTAATTCTTATTTTACTTAGTTTAGGGTGCTATAAGCCCTTTTGCATTAATGTGGTAAAAACACAATATAACGACGATTATTGTTTTATTGTTGTATTTCATTGTCTTGAAAAACATACTCACCAAGAGTTCCACGACGGATGTTTATGTAACTATAAGGATGAAATAATTCATCGTTTTCGTAATTTTCAGCAGGCAAATAATCATTAAAATACACGCATATAAATGTGGTTTTCATTAATGGCTCACTAATTATCAGTAGTTAGCCTTAAAAAATGCAAATATTGAAACAAGTTGCTTTTATATTTTTTTTATTTATATATTAAAAAATTGTATTCTTATTAATGCATATGTTATTACATTGTAAACAAAAAATGGCATCATTTGTTTCATTAATAGGTGCTATGAATTTAGGAAGGTTTAATAATAAAACCATAATTAAATACTCGTATGGTTATCAATCTTTTAGATCATTTGTAGTTGGCACTATTGAACAAGGCCTTGGTTACTCAATGCTTTTTAATTTCCCAGTAGTGAATATTAGAATTAATACATTAACAGAAGATAGCATAGAACAAATAAATAATTACAAAATAGTTATATATACAACGGCCGATTTAGTTCTTACTTTACTTAATTTGGTGTGCCTTAGGCCCTTTTGTGTCATTGTGGTAAAATCACAATACAACAATAAATATGGTTTTAATATTGTATTTCATTGTCTTGAAGACCATACTCACCAAAAAATACATGACTACTGTTTATGTAACTATAAAGAAGAAATATGTTATTATTTTGATGATTACATAGAAAATAGATAATAATTAAATACATACATGATATAGTTTTTATTAATGGCTTAAAATTATTAGTAATAGGCCTTAAAACATGTAAATATTACAACAAGTTTCTTTTATATTTTTTATTTATATATTAAAAAACTGTATTCTTATTGGCGCACTGTAAACGAAAAAAAATGGCAGTATCTATGCCATTAATGAATACCACAATTTTTGGAAAGTTTAATAATAAAAACATAATAAGATACTTGTATGGTTGTGACTTTTTTAGGTCATACATATATGGCACTGATGTGCAAAATATTAATTTTTCGTTGTTTTTAAATACCCCAGTAATAAATTTTAGGATTGATACACCTACAGAGAATAGTATAGAACAAATAGGTAATAACAGTTTAGTTTCGTATATAACAGTCGATTTAGTTCTTATGTTATTTAGTATGGGGTGTTTTAAGCCTTTTTGTATTAATATAGTAAAAACACGACACGGAAATAAACCTAGTTTTAGTGTTTTGTTTCATTGTTTAG